TGGAGTTTGCATATTCTTCCTGTGGGGGTTTCCTCTGGGTTCTCTGGTTTACCACCCACAGTCTAAAGAAAACATGCCAAGGTGAACTGGAGCTGCCAGCCTGTTTGTGTGGGTATCCGGGGTTACGCCCTGCTTTGCACCTGTTGTTTCCAGGTTAGACTCTGTGACCCTGGACAGGACAGGTGGTATAGAAAACAAATGAACAAACATATTAATAAATAGCACATAAAATAAAAGCACTATAACCAGCCTTCTACCTTTGTTTGTCTCAATGGAAAAACACTGAATTTTAAATAATATATAGCATAGCTAGTATCTGAGCCGTGAAATATAAAAGGCGGCAGAGTGCAAACTATTAATCTTACACCGATTTCTATAGGTGCCACTGGAGAAATATCCACAACAATAAATGATTAGACTTGTTATATGGAATATGTCACTATTTCAGTTTTATACTGAAAACTAATGTTTCAAAAGAAGCTATTTTACAAAAAAATAAAATCATTGTGCAAAACATTCTTTATATAACTCTTCAGGACGGTATAAAAAAAAATGAAACAACATAATTAAGTATCAGAATGGCTAGATTTGTGGTGGTCATGGGGTTTAAATCAGACTTTTAAAAAGACACAATTTCTCCACATCTGTTTTACATGAAATATATGATTTCTAACAATGCATCAGTTAGAATGAAGTATTCAAGAATAAAGTACAAAATAATACAATACTTTCCTAACAGGCATTTTTCCCATAGCAATGAACAAAATTGAGGAAACAACAAACGTTATATTCTCTTCGTTTTAATATATTATGTATTTATGACTAACCAGGACCAAAATTACTCAAATAAAAACGTGTCCTACTAACCAATTTACCTAAAACCCTGGGGCTGCAAACAGCTACTGCAAATTACTCATTCCACCTGTAGAATCAAATGAAATTTACTCCTCAATTAATCTACACTGAAGCCAAACCCCTGAACCACTTAAAATTTGCATATAATAACTATGTCTGCATATCGGTTACACCTTGATTACCTACTAGATAGATGTTTATTTTCATACATATTTCATGACATTGTGCCTCAATGGAAATTGCTCTATTTCAAACAGAAAAAAACAGTTTAATATGCAGTGATATGAATCAAAATGAGTTTTATAATTTCGTTTTTACTACTGAAAGGTTAAAGTGTGGTCAAGTAATTGTACCTTCTCTAATTCTTCTGAGTATATTTATCTTTATAGATTAATATCATTTATATGAATATATATTTGTTTTTAATTAATTCTGCAAAAATCAATCATTTTAGCTTTCAAATGGCAAGGACACAATTCTTTCCTGCATAGCCAACTGGGCCCCCCACACACAGACTGCAATAGATAAAACAAGTTACTTTTTAGGTTCATTTCAGGCCCAGAAAGTAAAAAATCCAGACCAGGGTTTTGTTTCAACCAACGACTTGAGTACTATATGACTGTGACTCTTTATGCTTAGCTGCTTGGTTGAAATAAAATCCTGGTCTGGATTTTTACTTTCTGGAGCTGAAATGTCCATCTCTGGGTACTACCTCAGCAAAAGGTGTTACATGTCACTTTAAAGACAGATGGATAATTTCAGTTCTCTATGGACATACTGATTAGGTTTTACACTGGCACCAAATTTCAGGTCATGTGCTTCTCCATAGAAGTTCTACTAGTAAACAATTATGATCATATGACAGAAAACCCCAACGCAACAGAACAACTGACACTGACTATATCTATTCTCACATTAACATAGCAGATCATCCCACACATCTACATGTAACATCCATCCATTCTGGATTCTAGTCTAAAACATTAGAAATATCCTTTAAAAGTACGGCAAGTTTGTCAGTGTGTATATTTCCGAAGCAAGAGAGCCAAGTACGTCTATCCTTATTTTTCCATTAATATAAAAACACATAATTTGTCCCTTAAATATTTCATTTCCATATGGACTAAATTTCTGAATTTCAGGGAATACCGTTTTTTGACATTCACTTTTGTTCAGTCAGTTGAAACCAGGCCCATATTTACAAATATATCACCAAAAGCCCTTAAAAACTGCACAGTCAATACTTGACTTGGTCTCTGTCAGGGAAAAATTAGACAACCAGGCTATCAGAAATTGCCATCTGCTGGAATAGCAAACCAGCTCCCAGACTTCACACTTCAGCTGGGGAGAAAGCAGCACCGCTAAAAATACGCAACAGTTCCACAACTGTTTTGACACAGATGATGTCCAACAACCTATCAGTTAGAATAAAGCTCTGCAAAATAACACAATACTATGCTTTGGCAGGGTACGGTCATTTCAGAGCACACGCTTCTGTTATTGAAATCGAGAAAAGTTACAGGCTTGTCTTCTGAATCTTAGCATGTCATAGGTATCGATGACAATCCAGGATGAGAATTATTCAAAAATGTGTCATTCAAGCAAATTTATATGATAAAAGGTGCTATCTGGAACTGGTTACTGCTTATTATACTGCTTATTATTCAGTTCACTTAAATCATCTATTTATCAACATTGAAGCCAAACTCCGGTTAAATTACAATCATGATAATTTGAAATGTTACCAGTATTACCAATAAGCTTTACTTTTTACCTAAATGCTACATTATATCGGATGATACATTTTCACAATGCACTTAAGATGATTTTGTTGTATAATATGAAGTTAACTGTAATAATGTAACCAATTTTCTTCTGAGATGTCATTTTATTGCTCTGAATTGGTGGTATATTCCTGGAGTGCTACTTCTGGAACTTAGTGTTTCACTGCAGTATATTTCTTTGAGAACGGTCCTACTAAAATTCATACAGTTGCTTCCTTCGTCTTGTTATCTTTGGTAGCTTCTGCTAAATACGGCTAGTTGCCTTCACACAATTTAAGTTCGACTGGACGGCAAATGTTTTTCCTCATCAGTCATGCGGTGTCAGCAATGCAAAATAGCTGTGATCTACTACACTGCAGTACCAATGCCGAAAAAGAAGCATTTTTACTTCCAAGCCACCAATTTAGAGTATTCACTTTTGATCTAACACTGAGTAATAATCCATTAAGCTTTTGCAATAGCCTATATATTTTCAATTAACCTCTTAAAACGAAAATTTCTAAATGTTTTGGGAAAAAATACAATTTTATTAATAATAATGATTTAATTGGTATATGAGCCCTTAAATATATTGCAATTCATGACATATCACTGTTCATGCTACAGCCTCCACTCAAATTAAATGCAGAAATGAAATGAAATGAAAGAAATCTGTCATAACACAACTGCATGCAAAATTGTAGATCAGATATCATACCAGGGCATTTCTCGTATTTATAGAAAATAAACCCCAGGTGATAATCATAAGACTGATAATGATTTATTCTGTATGTTAATGTGTCATGTATTCAAAGATGTAGGAATGCATAAACCCAGACACACAAAAGCATATATTCTATGCCTGACCGTACAGTCTGCTTCCATGAAACACACTGAGAAGTGGCGCGGGGAGAAATGCCGGTGCAGCGGCTGCTAGGATATTGAAAAGCCTACAAACCGACAAAACCTGTATCCTTCTAACCTCTTCATAACGTCAGAAAGTGATATACTAGCGTAGTGCTGGGCCCAGTGGGCAAAAAAGTTAGAAGCACAACCATTAACGTTGCTTTAGTGTTGCACGACGTTTTTTTTTTTTTTTTTGGCTGCAAGGTTGAAACGCGTCTGGTTTGCCAACACGGACACTATACAATAACTTACCCCCCCCCCCCCCGTTCCCCTACATTTAGTTACTGCACACATATAATTGCAGATGTCGCACCATTGCAATAAACAATGTGAAACAGAGCAGTCCTCGAGAAATAAATCAAGGCACTTAGGGCTTACCACTTGGGTTCTTGTTTTTCTTAAGACTCTTGCCACAAAGACACTGCAGCATATGCGTTCCTTTGCTGAAAATGTTCCAAAGAAACCACATTGATTTGGGGGATGAGCAATCCAGCAGCTTAGACACCCTGATAAAGAAGAGATCCTTGCGATTGCATAATAATACAATTGGATCAGTTCTCCTGGACAAGACTACCAATAGTACCATAGAAAAATATGTAATATTCCAATTCTCTGCGCTTTGTTCACGTGATAAAATATATTACAAGACTTCTCAACGAAGGTTATTTTTTTCCAGCTGTATATAAATTGTGGTACCACCCTAGGTAGTCAATAATACAAAATATACTTTATAAATAGCATGTGTCGGGCAGAAGAAGTGCAGCCAATAGACAAACAGAAGCAATGCGAAAAAAACATTAAAACGCATTGGATTTCCGAAGAAAAAGCATTGCTGTTAGTACATCACTCTAAGGAAGGGTGGAACTGCACAGCATCAAAAGCCAAGAAAGGTTTCATCCCAGGCAAAGACCGCAACGGTAGCCACAACGTAACATAACCACATCAAACCTGTTCGCTTCAAAGTCGATAGTCGAGGTTAATTTCCTATAACCTCCTTCTTCATTGTTTTAAAAAATCAACGTTTGATGGACAAAAAATGTATCATTCCTTTTAAAATCCAGATGGGTATCCGAATGCTTTCTTTTGCGCTATTCCCCCGCTTTCTGCTTTTCTTATTAGTAAAATCAGAGCGACGAAATCCCCGTTTCTTCCAAAAGTGCGCTGCGTCCGGGATACCATTTGCATGTATAAAGCTTTTTCCTTTAGATCTATGTATTAGAAAATAGATGTGGAGGAGGGGTTGAATTGAAAGATTGGCTTTCCATTACGTAAACACGTGGTTTGAGCACCGTCACAAATGAGACGCTTTGGCGTTACAGGGAGAGACAAAATATTGTCATAGATATGATGAATGAATGTGAGGTGTCGGTGCAGTGCATCATTTGTTTAATTCGGAGCGATATAATCGACATTCGTGAGACAGCAGATCAGTGATGATTTTCGTTCACGGCCAGCAATTTTTCACGCATCCAACACGGGGGGTTGGGGGGGACCGAACCGCACAGCACCGCAAACTGCTGCTGTTCAGAGACTCACCGCATCAAAACTGTGTCGAAGCACTAAAGTAATATGCTGATGTCAGGCGTTCCTCACTGCAATTCAACAAGTTTGCTTTCCATTTTTTTCTATTTTTAGCCTGCATTGACGGGGTATGTTCAGAATAGCCTACAGCATGTCTGCAATAGCGACGGATCTTTCCCCAGTGAAAGAAACATCCTTACAAGAGAGCTTTAGGGAGGAAAAAAGTGATAATATCTGCCAACACATTGTGTCTGTCGTACAGGTGTCTATATACGCCTTTTAGAAGAAAGTGCCTTTAGGTCAGGCCTGTATAGATTATGTGGTGTTCCTCTAGTAAAGTGCGCAAAACGTTTGATGCGCAAAACGTTTGATGAGCATGACAAACTAGACTCTGAAGAAAGATATGCATGTAACTGTGCAATATTATCCTAGTTAGTATAATGACGCCAACGTAAAAATAAATGTTATTCGCGTTTTAAAACGTTTTAAATGTTGGCTTACATTACATGCGGGTAAAAGTAGTGATTAGTCTACGAATGCCTTTTTTTCCTGCGTGTAATTTGGCCCTAGTGAGTAGCTTATCTATAATCATGTTCTATACTGCAGACCTAGATAAACATTTTATTAAAATGTGAAAATCCTACACATATTCTTGACATTTGTGAAGTCCCAAGTACCTCGTCTCCCACTGTTAATTGTGAGAAGGTTAATAATCTGAAGGTAAAACAAATCGCAGAACCTTCAGCAGTCTAGTACGATGTTTACCCTAGTTAATATATGGAGATTTTACTGGGACCAAGTCCTTACTTCCTAGTAGTCTTATTTCCCCTTACTGTTAGTCCTAGGGCTTAATATATACCCACTGGACGTGTTAAACCACTTAAATGGTAATGCCATATAATGGTGAGATATAAAGGAGTATTAAATGCTTGTTGGCATTAAATGAACATGCCCATGTAAGGCCATGAGCTGCTGCTATATTAGAATATCTATCCAAAACACTGACAAAAGGTTTCTGTTTTGTCATTATTTTCACTTACTACGTATATTATGTTTCAAAGCTGTTACAGTTCTCAAACCTAATTTGGCTCAACCATAACTGGATTGGACGGTCAGGTGAAATCAGTTACAGTGTTTCTCACACCATTCCTTGGGGACCTCCAGGCGGTCCACGTCTTTGTTCTCTCCCAATTTCCTGGAAGTCGGGCTCTGGGGATCCCCGAGGGCGGGTTTGAGTAACACTGATCTAATGTATGTATATATACATAATGATCTAACTCCCCAAAGGTGACCAGACCTGCTTCTGTTGCTTAAGGCTGCTCTGTTTATGATCCGCTGCTCCACATCCACCAAGGCACTTTGCGGTTGTATTATTTATTCCGGATCATCACAATATTTGAGCAAAACCACAGAATTATTGGATTCTGAAGGCTGCCACTGTTATTTGTTGTCTGTCGGCATTACTAAAAGCAGACTGTAAGATATTTAAAGGGATTCGTGAAATTAAAGTCCTAATGAGACAAACAGGAAATAAGAGGTGCATATTAAATATCCTGTTTTTTATGTACAACATGTTAATATGTAGTAAGGGTCTGTTTTGTATCAATGGAATATACAGTAGGCATACTTTCATATGGTAATGTGTTTTTTGTAATGGACTAGAGACGCTGCCGTGGAACTCTGCTATAAGACCTCTCCCAGGTTTTGGCGTAACCTAAATTGGCAGCCACATCTGGGAATAATGGCTGTCTTGTTAGTCACGGTAGATAGTACTGAGCACACCTTTGAGAATATGGGTTATTCCCTGCAAACCCCCCAAGATCAGAATCTCGAAAACAACTGTGCTCTGTGGCAGTCTTTTTTTTTTAGGATACTTCAGTATACTGTCACAGTATTTAGATACTTAAAAAAATGTTATAGACTTATATACATACACACACACACACATTTATATATTTATAGTACTTTGGTGGGTACATTGATTACAATTTAACTGATAGTATACACAGAGCTACTTCAATTGCGATATAAGTGGTTTAAAGTGCTTCAGTGACTCATGTGTTGCCTTGCAGCATTTGTGCTGTACACTCGCACCTCCAGGACTGAGGGTTCAGTTACTGTTCCTGGCTCTGCCTATGTGTTCTCCCCATATTCGTATCTGTATTTGGGGCTGGTGTGGCTCAATGGGTTAGGATGCCAAGTAATTGAATCATTGTAGCCGTGTGCCAGATTGCTCCAGGAACTGTCTGACCCTGTTTTCTCAAAAGAAAAAGAAGAAGAAAAAAAAATGGTGGTCATTTTGGATCAAACTGTCCACTAAATTAAAAATGTAAACGTTTCATCCAAGTAATATAGTATGAATGAACTTCTCCTTCTGGATGGTAAACATCTACAAGATGCAGAGACTGTTAATTATAATGGAGAATTTGATAGGTCACACTAGCACACAAACATGTGGTCAAATCAAGCAAACATACAAAAATAGTTCTCGCTCAATAAAACCCTGGACCACTGCTCCGAGTTTCCCTCTCACAAAGCAAAGACGTACTTTATGCCCCCAATGTTGATTAGAGAGGCTTGTTCCCTGACCACACTCCTCTCCTGAAACATCCACATCCTTCTCATATCTTGAATTCTCACAGTTCAAAGACAAACCATAAGGTGAATTGTCTCAGATGTCCATAGTGTGTATCTGCCATGAGATGGGCTCATATTTCATCCAGGGAGTCTCCTACCTTCTGCTTCCTAGGATGAGCTATAGACAAACTTCAATCCTGCAGAAGTGGTGTAATTAACAACAGACACAATAACCTTCAGAAAATCTGTATGTGAAAGATTTATCCACATCAATGCATAAAATAATCCACAAACCTATAAGCTCTCTTTATATCAGGGTCGTCTCATGGCTTGGAATTGTTACAGAAAATCTGGGAAGTTGTTCTGTCTCCCTGTTTGATTAAGACTCAAAACACCAGCTGTTGGTTTTACTTGAGCTGTATGGCAGCACATCACTGTACGGGCTGCATGTGCAGATTGTTTTAGCTCAACATTTTTAAGACATTGACAAAATTGTGTGATTCATATCCTTGCACTATTTAAAAATACACATAATTTAAGTTGGTCAGGTCAATATTTCAAAATATATTGAGAGTCATGTATACAGTATTTCAGTGAAACATGAAAAAACGTATGTACAAAACGTGACTTGTTTGTAAAATTACTGTAAATTTACAGAGCTAAACTTTGTTTGGATTGTCTGGAAAGACATTATTCTATTGTAAGATGATGCAGAACAATGTTCTGGGAGTAAATGTGAGGAAACATTGAAAAGAGTAGTATTTACTGAATTTCCGCATTGCAATGATACAGTATCATGGACAAACACTGGTCTGATGTAAACCCAAGCAAGCCCTGCAATAGTGCACTGTAGGATAATACTCTATTTGCTATTTGTACAGGTACATTGTGTATTTTTCCTACAGTTTTCACATTTTCCACCTTACCCTCCTATGAGATGTTCAGACACAAAAGAGAGCGAATCACGCTGCCAGGCACAGGATGGGAACCGGCAGCCGTCCAATCACAGACACTCACCCACCGAGCCACACAGCGTCCCCAAATGCTGCAGTATATCTGCCATTCTGCATAGCTCAGCCTTTTTATTGATCTGTTTGTGTGTAATCTAAACCCTTATTGTGCCCTGGACGATATCGTCTGACGGCTGTGTTAGGAATAATTAAAATATTCTGTAGTAGGAGCAGTTTCTCCCTTCCTGACCTGTTGGTAATGCCAGTGTAATATTAGAAAATCAGGTTCATATACATAATATAATCTGAATGATTTGACATTGGCTGAAAAAATTATTACTGTAAAACTGAATATAATATAAAGATGTATATTGTAGTATTTTGTAGTATTGTACTATTCTGATGTAGAAAGCTTTTGCAGGACAGGATACATTTTTGTGCAAACTGATTGCCTTTAGTTATGAAACTATGGTGGTTTCTTACGGTACAGTACTGTAGCCCCAGTAATGTAGTTCACAGACCTTCTGCCTTTTTCATAGCTGTATTATTGATGATTATTAGATTATCATCTAGGAATTAAGGCCAGATCACAAAGACAATTCATTTTCTTTAAGAGGAAGGAAAAATGTGTTACCCATGTACAAATTTCAAATCTCATACTCTGATTTTGAAAATCATCAAAACATTTTTGTTTCAATTATAGAATATGTCTCTATTTTCCAAAGCTTTTCGAAATGTTTTTAATACAATTATATATAAAAATGACCCTGGAGACTCATTAGTAGGTGCCATCCAAGTGTTGGTAGAGAAAGGAAGACGACCGCAGATATGGTAGATGGCTCGTTCCCTACAATTTAACACACTTTAAATAGCGTACTTTCACAGTTCGGCAGAGGAAAAAGTACAGCCATTTACCAAACAAGATATCAAAATACAATTCGCATGCTAGGGAGCAGAGGTGGGAAGGTTCAGACCCAAAAAGTTCAAATCCAGTCCACGTTTTTTTTTTTTCCCCTCAACCAACCAGCAGAGTACTCTGACTGACTCTTTATGCTCAACTGGTTGGTTGAAACAAAACCTTGGTCTGGATTTGTACTTTCTGGACCTGAACTTAACTCCTCTGTTAGGGAGTGAGGGTGTATAACAGCAATTGTTTCCTGTACATCCTCCAATTTCCAAAGATGAATAATGATGGGTCCCATGCTCTATAATTTTCTCAATATGGAAACTTGTCAACCCATGTGACAGAGTTAGAGGTAAAATATCTATCTAATATTTCTTTTTCTTATGTGTCCTGTCTGTATAGCATTGACTGGTTATATTTTGTCACTCTTGTGGTTCCTAATCAGGCTTTGATTAAACTTAACATGCTTTCTACTCTTTATAATATAGTAATCACCATTTCAGCAAAACTGAAACTCAAACTGAAATTCTAAATTTTTTCATTATAAAGTGAGTTTATTTTTCCCTTTTTTTTTTAACAGACAATGCAGGTCCTTTATTTGTATGGATACTTGCCTGCAAAGAAACTGCAAAACCCACACACGAGCATGCATGCACTATTATCTTATTCAATTTTGAAGGAGAAACTACTTAATTACATTTGCAGTATATTTTCCTTAAAGTAGGAATGATTCCCTCAGAACAGGTCAGACAGTGAGCAGGTGCACTATGCAAACGGAGCGTTCACATGAATTCCTATGATCTATTAAATACTTTTCCTTGGCTGGTTGCGCAGATTGGATTAAAAATGCAGTGAGACTTACCTTTGCTGGCTATGGTGACCTGAAGCTCAGCACTTCTGCAATGAACACACTGAGAGAAAAGCTGTGAGGAAAGACAGACACTGCTTGGCTTTATATGTTCCAGCACAAATATTATTCACTAACAATATTCCCATGTATAATTTGGCCTTCAAAAAAACTCCAAACTAATTTTATTTAACATGCTCTGCAATGTAAAGAACTATGTTCTGGAATTAAGACTGGATTTGAATAAAACTACTGTCAGCACAAAATGATTGCTATTGTGTATATATAATCTTACTATATAAAAGAATACACGCAGAGCTGATGAGAATATGAACAGATAACAAAGAAATTGAACAAGAGAAAAGAAGCAGCTTCTGTCTATTTACAGCTGCAACCCCTAGAGAAAAAGAGTGCTATGCTTTCATCATCGATGGTGCTACATTCTGATGAGAGAAAATCCATCCATATATCTTCCAATTATTTATCCAGTATAGGGTCACAGAGACCCTGGAGCCTATTCTAGGAAGTATACGGTAATAGCTTGAGGAATACGCTGGACGGGATGGCAGTCCATTGCACGGTGCCCATGTATACTCAGACATTATAAACAATTCATAGGTGCTAAATTACCTAACCCCATGTTTTTGGCCTGCAGATGGAAACCAGATGACCAGAGGAGACCCTTGGAGAACATTAAAAAAAAAGTGACGGTTGATTTTGATTCCTCAGCCCTGGAAGTGTGAGATAGACGTGCTACCCACAGAGCCAGCCGTGAGAGAAAATGCCATTGCATAACAGATGTGACCTTAGATGAGATAAATATACTTGCATCCGTACTTATCCATGGAAGAGCATACATCCATCCTTTTCATTTCATACTTTGTTTTGTCCAGATTCTGCATCAGCCTCATTACTGTCACCTGCCTTTAGTCATGGACATCAGCACAGCAGGACTCTGGGAGATTCAAGAGATTTTATATATATATGTGGGAATTATTCATTTACGATTGGGATTTGGGAGTTTATTGAATGTAATGTGTGCCTGTGCTTGTCCCACGTGTACACATGGAACTGATTCCTGTTCAAGCTTTCGTTTTCCGGATTAATAATTTCCTCCTACAGTGCAAGACTGTAGCCGTTTGTGTGTGTGTCAGCTGACCATCCACGTTCCTGCGTCTTACTTGGGTAATGTTACCCCAAGGGGCTTTTGTCCTTTAATACTGAATGCTCACTTCCATTTATCACTGACCCGTGTGAAATTGCATGCTTTTGATAAAGCTGAGTTTGGGGGAGGGACTTTTAATTGTTAATCCCCGATTGAGTGAATATAATGTAAGAAATGTGAAAACTACACAAGTAAAACTACTACTAATTTACAGTACACATAATTTTGTGTGCATATGACGTAAGCTCTCCATATCCCCAAGGCGTCCACTGTGGGATCTGTAGGATTTTATTACATTACTGTGTAACACCACAGCTACAGCGTGCGTTATTAGGGTACTGCCCAGTCCACACCTGTTGTTCAAATGACAAGGTGCTATGCTACATAAATACACTTGCAGCAACCATAGGACTGAGCAATCAGGATGCCAAAAGGCCAGACAATCCATAACGTTCAGTATTATCTTCTGAATCCTGATCTCATTATCTTGTGGTGCCTGACTGACTGTGAACAAACATCACCCATTGTCTTAAGTTCTGTTAAAAGCTCTGTAACTAACACAAGTTAAGAGGAGATGTTTCAGAAGACTGTGCATAAGATCTACAGCACCAGGAACATCATCTGAAAATAATCTCCTTCTTCCCAATGAGAATACCTCTAGTTCATTATTTTAAGGATGAAACAAAGAAATCTCACATAACATTGATCTAATGTTACCATTAGACCAGCACCAAGCTGATACCTCTCCTGTGTGTAAAGATTCTCGACCCTTCTTTAATTTTAACTTTTAATTTGGGTGGTAATCAACAATCAGGTTTAATATATCCAAATGTTAACAAAGATATAAACATAACATAAAATAACAAAAGAAAAAATAAAATAAGCATGTATTTTAATTTACATGGTATTTCATGTCCTTTATTAGTTTAGATTTATTCTTAAAAATTCATATAGTGTTTTCAGCACCTTGTTTTGTATGCGTTCTGGGACCTGCGCCTGCCTCGCTACCCCTCCAGTCTCGTATGCCCTTCGCCTTCCGGCACCTTCTGACTTACAAATTAAGCACTGCTTATAAGCACTGTTCAGAAAAACATATGAATAGCTATTCATCTTTAGCCTATTATGAAAGCAAGTGTTCTATGAAAAACATAATTAGGAACTAAACCCATAATATCCAATACTTGATATCCCCTGAGATCCTGACCGGGATAGCCATTGGAAGATGACTGGATGGATATATCATATCCCAACAACACTGCACTTTACAAAAATGACATAAGTTCTGCAGGTTATTATCAGCTATTGTCTTCATGCACAGCAGCAATAGCATGACATTTTTTTTTAGAATACTAGGTATTTTTGCAACCTTTATAATAAAATATTTGGACTACCTGTCAGGGCAATTGTCATACTTCAGCAGGCAATTCAAAATAAATAATACTGTAGTAATGAAAACAGACCATGCAATCCTTCATGATAGTTCTGCATAAGGATAATTATTTTGATACTGTATCCTATAGGATCATTATCTGTATTAAATACTGAGATAATAATTACTATATAATACAAATTCATTATCACTTAACCAATGCTACATATTAGCTACACTTGAGAGTTGTTACCTTCGTCATTTCACGGAAACATTAAACAGATCGCCATCATCTGACATGTGAGCCATCATCCTCATAGAAGGACCTGTTGTATTGAACAGAGTGGAAGCATATTATTTTCATCTTAGCTTCTGTATGGTTTTCATGGAGAGGGTCCTAACATGATTACACATAATTAATTTAGCATTATCAAAAAAAAGCTTTAAAGTAACCTGCCTTGTACCTTGTGCTGCCTGGGACATGCTATCCCCCACCCCCCCGACAGGATAAGCGGTTAGAATATGGATGAATGGATTAATTATTTATAATGAAAATGAATTGCAAATAGGAATAAATAAGCAATATGGTTTAAGGATCAAACGCTGCTGCTTGTATTTACAGTCACAGTGTATGCTATCAGACGGTTTCAACAGTTTACGAAAAAAAAAATAAGCATTGATAAGCAACAACAGAAAAATTGTAGATAACCGTGAATTATTTTTGTTACTTAGTCTTTTATCTTTGTAGAAAGAGCGCAATATCTGTCAAAGCCATTGATGGGTGAGTAATGTCTACTGTTGATGCTTGCACAAACTCGGGTGAAGGATTCACGCGCAAGCCGTGGTCAGGCTTTTTGGCTGAAAGGAAACGCAGCACACCAATCAGCTTATGGGAATGAGGGGAAAGTGGTGAAATGTGACGGTAGCGCTGGGCGATGCGGTTCAAAAACAGTATCTTGATATTTTAGGTCAGTATTCGATATTTGATATATATCGATATTATTAAAATATCACATATGATGAAAAACAAATCATCTTAGAAAAAATAGAAATTGATTAAAAATATCCAAGTACCTGATATGTAAACAAATATTGTTAGTATTTAACAAATCGAATGTTCCGGTAAATTAACAAATTGTATAACCCGATCCTCGATCCGTACCACCTGCCTGATTTGTATCTCACACGTCTGCGCACGCACAGCATTTTTGAGCATGCGTACACCACATTGCATTAACAGGTGTTCCGGGCAATTCGGTTTCCCTATGTTTCCCCTGTCGCGCGCTGATTTGTACACGGTTTCGCTGTTGTTTTCATGTCTTTTTACAAAGCTCTTGAGGTAAACAAGCCATATATTTTAAAACATCACATGTTTTTTGTTTTTACAGATAATAAATTAAAGTATTTCATTCGCTGGATAGAGATATTTCTTGATGAAAACGGTATAGTATTGCTTATAAGACTATATTATGCGTGACGATCTACTGTATTCACATGTAATAATGTACCTGAGTGATTTTCAGACATCTCACATACATATTTGCCTAAATATTAGGAGAAACATTATTTCCTGACATCCAGGATATTTGGTTCCCCCCTGTTAAAACAGGTATACAGCAACTCTGGGCCTCGGAACTAATAACAATACAGTATTCACATGTAATAATGTACTTGAGTGATTTTCAGACATTTCACATACCTCTTTGCTTTAATATTAGGGGAAACATTATTTCCTGATAGACAGGGGAAACATAGGGAAACCGAATTGCCCGGAACACCTGCACTGGCTGTGCTTGCATCACGTTATTTTTTGTTATTTCTTCCTTACTTAATTGAGGTTCCAGTCACTGCTAACATTGTATGCTGCAATACATTAGTCAATACGACATCTCCATATCAGTTTCATAAAAGTAGGGGTGTCTGTATTTTTGCTGTATTAAAAATAAAACCTTCAGGAATACCAGGGTAATACCATCATAATACCCAAGCCTACCTACTATGTCAAATGATTTCACCCTCAGGGTAAAATGGAGTGTGGAATCCTTATCTGAGGCAATTCTGTTGCAAAACCATGTCTGTGTCCGAATTCAGAGGTTGCTTAATTCCTTCGAAAGACGCGATCTTCAATGGTGTAGCCTTTGTAGGCTGTGCTTTTCGAAGGTCAAACAGATAATGTTGTCAAATGGGACAGTCTGGCCTACGGATAATTTCCTCTTTACTTCACCAGCTGTTCCTGTCCTTACCAATGAGACTTGTGGCCTGCCTGGGACACACCCACATTACCTGTGTGCAATGAATCTCGGGATACGTTGGGCTACGAAGGATCCATCAGGTGCGTCCTTCATGGAGCAAAAAAAGATGGCCGCATTTCTAGACTACATTTGAAGGAGCCTTCGAAATGGGGCAGCCATGTCGCACCGCTGTAAAGCATTCGGTCTTCAAATGCAGCCTTAGAAGGATGCAGCCCCTGAATTCAGATGCAGCCCTTTTTTGAGTAGCACCAGGGCTTGTCTCCAGTCAACAAACTGACCAAGCTGGCCCATGCTGTAGTTGCATGACACACGAAAACCCATTACCTGACTTATTGTTAGAGTCATCTTTCCCCCCCCCAAATCCTGCATCACATTAATTTTGTCATCCTAAAAAAATAATTGCATACATGTTTGGATACAGAAAGGTGGGATAGACACATTACTAACTAACAGTACCTAAAAGTATTTTGAGTATGTAATAATGATTTGGCTCACTTCAGCTTTATAAAATACTAGTGATTGGTCAAAACTGAATGGAACGTGGCTTTTATTTTGAAAAATATCATAGCTGGGTCTGTGTCTGGGCCAGTCCAATGCTGGTGGTCCTTAAGTGAACTTTTGCTCCACTTCAGTCTGAATATCTGGGCTGGTAGCTGGGCCGGTCTGGGTACATACAAAGATAGTGTGGTAAAAGCTTGAATTCATACTGTATTTATGGGTAGTTTGTTCAGTATAAACACAGTCATCCTGCAAAAAACATCATTTAACATATATAGCACATATAATGCAAATTATAATAGCACCAACCCCAAAGCTATTGTGCAGGGATTTTTACCATAATCAAGCATTCCCAATTAAAAAAATAATCAAGATTAACTACGTGAACCTCAGGAATTTATGGCAGAGGATTAAGAAAGCTTTAAGTTTATACCTAAGAGCTGACAGCAGGCATTTAGACATATGTACTTTTTATAAACCATTTACTAAACTAGAATTTTTCCTTAATCTCAAGTGGTTCTTTACACCACACATTACAAATTTACTATATTCTCATTAATTGAACCATTTTGTTATTTTCATATGTGTATTGATCGATTTGATGTGTTTGTTACCAGAGAAACCTTTGAGCTCTGTAGTATCATAAATACATGTATTGCATTACATTGACATATGCCAATGTAAATGTAATTAATATGATTTTATATTACAGCAAATCTAGTATGTTCAGATCGCAACAAAGAACACTGAATGATAAGCATGACAATAAGCATTTCTCTATGCAAAAATGATGATATGAATGAAAAAATGAATTTGCCCTTGTAGAGAAGCTATACACAGAACTAGGGACTGGAGACTGGAGCCCGCAGTTGCACTGCAGTGTTACCAAGCAGTAACAGACTCCAAAGCATGACCTTTCTAGAAATGAGCTCTTCATAGCTACATCGCTCAAAGGCAAGCAGCTGTGTGATGTTGGATTTGGCTCCTATGCCTGGGAAAGAAAATGTGTGGCAAACGAACGCTGGACAAGGTTTCCTGTAAGGGGGTAAGAAATTTGTAAGGATTTCTGTAATGAAATAAGCAGCAAAAACA